CCCCCCAGTTCCCCCAGCCGCTCCCCAGCAGACCTGTGCTCCAGACCCTGCCCCAGCTCCGTTGCCCTTCTCTGGCCACGCTCGAGTCACTCAATGGCCTTTTTGGGGTGAGGGGCCCAACACTGAACCCCCTCAGCGAGGGGCGGCCTCCCCAGTGCCCAGCCCAGGGCTCAGATCCCTTCCCTGTCCCTGCTGGCCACGCCAGTGCTGACACCAGCCAGGATGCCGTTGCCCTCCTTGGCCCCCTGGGCACACTCTGGCTCATTCTCACCCCCCCAGTCCCTCTCTGACCGGCAGCTCTCCAGCCACTCCTCCCCAGGCCTGTAGACCTGCTGGGGGTTGTTGTGGTCCAAGGGCAGCCCCCGCACCTTTAAGATGTGAGACTGGAAGAAGCCGCTGATGTAGCACATCCTTCAGCACAACACAGAAAGCAGCATCTCCCCAGTAATTTTAGGAACAAAACTAACAGAAACATGGTGAAAGAAGTGACACTGCACACATGCCCCGTACCAGTATACTCACGAGGAAGATTATGCTGGGCAACTGAAATACACAAGTCTCTTACCATGGAAGAGGAATTCACATGTCAACTGCAAAGTGTCTGAGTTTGCTCATCTAGAGCATCAGCGTTTAATGAACCCCCACACCAAGCCCCATTATTACTGTTTATTTGAACAAAGCTCCTCCGAGATGAAACAGGCTGAGGAGAGAGGACTGGCAGCTGGCAGACAGGAGAAGGGGATGACAAGCAGCTGAGGCAGCTGCTGCCTGACCTTTGCAGCCAGCGGGTAGATGAGGACACAACCCTCGGGTCTCCTAAACGTTGTTCCAACCCACCCCACCTACCAACGTCCCCCAGCGTTACTGAATTAGCAAATGTTAAACATCATTACAAATCCACAGAAATCCCATTATTCCTGTGCCCAGTAAAAATGCCTCAATGTATGTACAAACCAGCGCAATTTAGGGAAAGAAGAGCCTGCGGAGGGATTTACCAGGGTGGTAACAGCACGTCACAAGCTCATGGCCCTTGTCCCGAGGCTGCTAGCCATCGGGCGATCGCCGGGAGCCGCCGGCTGTGTCGCTCCCAGCTGGAGACGTGCTGTCAGCAGGAAGGGTTTAAGAAAGCACCACCCTAAAAGACAACTCATGCCCCACCTGCACGTACAGAAGAGCCCTCACTCACTAAAAGTGCTAGTAAACAGTTCTCTGGTTTATGAAGTTCCTCCAGCTAAGAGCAGCCTCCTGTGCCTGGGTTGTATGGAACACCCACAGCGCTCACCAGCAATTTCAGTCTGAGGTTTTAAAATACAATTGTTCTCCTCATCAAAGTTTCATGAATGTTTATTTGCTCTATTTCTCTCTTTAAAAGTTTTATTTCTCCTTGTTTACAACATGGAGAGACCCCAGATGCACTCTGCAAATTAACCTGACCTACATATTCAGTCTTGTAACACTTTTTTTTTTTTTTTTAACTGAACAGTTAGCTTCCCAGGAAGTATGTCAAACTAATTAATGCAAAGTCACAAGAAAATCCAGCACAAATTGAAGTCCTGTACTTCCTATTTGTATGCAAGTTGAAATACATACAAACACTGAACCAGTAAAATAATCCAGTCTTGCTGAGATTCCAAACAAAGTTAGTCCACGGGGTGTGTTTTTAAAAAAATTAATATAAACAGCGTAATTTTAAAGGACAGAAGAGACATGCGTTCATGAATTCCAGTGTTTTTTCAACTTGTGATCATGTAGCTCCCCAAGGGACCTATGGACTGAACAGCCCGTGAAATAAGAGCTAACACCAGCACGCCTATTGTCAAACAGGTTTCAAGTTGCAAACAAGAGTGGTTTAACTGGAAAAAAGATTCATTCTAAAAGTCAGAAATCGCTCGCACAGATTCATCAGTGACATAACACTGCTCAGTCTCACTCAGTTACTGTTCTATGACACCCAATAACTTTGCACTAACTGAGGCACAGTTAGAAGAAAGGTTCAGGATGAGGCTGCTGACACCATCAGTCTTCAGACATTTTTACAGAGTTTACTCTCATTCTCATGAAAAAATTATCGATATTACACCACTTACATTATTATTATTGACCTTAGGACAAAACCCACAAAAGCACTCCGTGGAATTTTATAATAAAAATATGACACCACTAACAGAGCTTGACAGTGAGTGACACGGGATAATTAAGTGCATTAATTACCGCTTGTTTATAATAGCACCAGATTAAAAACAACCTGTAATCAAAAAGCAGTTACCTCTTTGAGGAATGAGACTCAGGGTTCCAGTCAGGGTATCTGTTAAATGTTAAAAATACAATCGTTAGCGATAAAGCCACGTTTGCCATCTGAACAGAGTTTTTGCTTACATGCAGTAGCTTTTACAGAGAAACTTTCCCATTCAGGACTCCAGAAGCACCAAGTGTCGTCTCATTTTTTTACCCTCAACGATCCAAAGCCAATTTAGAAGAGCAGTCAGACACCGACAAGCCGCGTTAAGGAAACCTGACACACTTTCACAGACTACGTGCATGCACCGCAAACACTTTTTACACTAAGTGAACTTTTTAAACAGATTTCTTACTGTTGACGTAACTGGCGGCAGCTTTCAATGTGAGAAGGAGTGTTCTGGTGCAGAATCCAGTCCTAATTGGAGAGAAGACATCCAGAGAAGTCGCATTAGCATGTAAAACATCAGCCTTTGACCACAATTTCTAGTCACGTGTTGTCATACTTCACTTTCCACCAGAATTTACTTCACAAATGATCTGACGTCAAGGTCAGATTTTATTTTAAATTTTAAATCACTACTCTTCACACAGAAGCCTGAAACACTTATGGGTTATCCAAAGCTGTTAAAGAACACAAAGGAATCTAAGAGGAAGTTGAACAAAGTGCATCATATGAAATGAATCTGTTACTTCCAGCAACACACTGGGCTGTTGTCACCGCGATTCTAACCCAAAAGGTTGATCCAACAGCCAGCTGTATTAGAAGAAAGAAAACTATTAGCAGTCTTCACAGCTTATCAGACTGATGAACACACAGACAGCAAATTAAGCTGAATAAATCAGAGAACCTGACACAACATAGCAGCTTTAAGGCAAGTATCATTACCACGGAGGCACGGCTTTTCATGCCTTCAATTCACGAACGTTCACTCCTAATATTATTACAAGTAAAGGTCAATCCAAAAGTCTGATGGAATTTTTCACACACACACACACACACTGACTTCTTTTAATATTAAAAAAAAAAAAAACTGAAGGAAAAGTTTTACTTGGGAATAACTGATGGGTTAAGCATGAGACAAATCCAGACGTACAATGCAAGTCCTCAACCTTGAGAAATACTTAAGCCCAGGTTTAACCGTAAACACAGAATCAGTCCCCAGCATGGGAAACTACGCCTGAAGGCTTTATTCTAGTAGTATTATTGTTACGATGATGAAAGCAAACTGACCTGCTAGTGAAAGCAAGTGCTGTAGTCAGTTTGCTATGGAGAAGAAATATTGCATGGTTTAAAGCTGTAAGGCATCGTATGGCACCAAGGATAATCATTAATCATCCGTTTAAAAAAAAAACTACTTTTAGCTGCTTTAATATTTTAAAATAGATAACAATGGCTGAATAATGCAACTGACAGGCAAGGCTTCATAAAATAATTTGCAGTTGGGAAATTCCATATCACTTGTTCTAAGCGCATGCTGGTTTATAACACAAAAGATTACAGAATGCATAGTTGGCAGTATCAAACCCTCTTGTTTATTGACAAAAATGCTGAACATGCTGGCTAAAAGAAAAGCTCGTGATGGTTTACTCAAAGCCTATGAGGTGGAAGAATTAATGTGACCAGGGCCCAGTTAGTTTTGTGCATTTTGGCAGCAGAGAGAACGTGGTGAAAACAGCTGGTCCTTGCACTTACGCTATCAGCCTAGCGGCACTGAAATGTGCTACAAGACAGCTACCCAAACTATTTGTACCCCAAGTGTAAAAAGAATAGGGTTGAAGGAAATTAAAATACATTTTAAGCACAAGACTTCTTATCATTGCCTGAAGAGACAGGCTGGTTAACCAATCTTAGAAAGGCACTGAAACGTTTTACTAGCCGTGTTCATAAAAACATTCTAGCTGTTCAAAGTCAGAAAAATATTACTCAGAGGACACTGCCTTGGGCTCACTAGCTGAACCAAGGCATGTTAAGAGTTGAACAGACTGATAAAAACAACTTGCAGCTGTAGAACTGCACGCACGCGCGCAAAGCACGAGCAATTCACCATTCTACGCTTGTTTTTTTCCTAATAACATGACATTATGAAGTCATCTCATTCTCAGGAATGCTAGTTTTTTGGAGTCTTCAAGTTAGACAGAAAAAAAGAGAAAAGATTACTCAAGGGCTAAAGCAAATTAGCTGGTGGAAAGGAAATCGGGCTTCAAGTCGCCCAGTCCCGCGGTGCCAAGCGAGGAAAGCGCGCGCGGTGTCTGCGAGGGCCCAGCCAGGCCAGTTTGCTTCCAAGTGTCATTAGCCACCAGTCCAAGGAGCATTAACGAGGCTGGCAGGCCTACAAAGAGATATTCTCCTCCCTAACAAACGCAACATTCTTCTCTTCTTCAAGTCTTCATTATGCCAAAGGCCTCTTGCGTTTCATAGAATTACAGGAGTCTCGATTTACGTATATTCCTCCTCCAATTAATTCCTTGCCCTTCTCAGTCTTCAGAAATATTCCAGTTCCTCGGGCAAGTCTGTCCCCAAAGACAGCTCCTTCCCCCCAAAGGACAGGGTCCCTTCGCAGCACAAACGCTCCATCCATCACATCCCAGTGCGAGTGACAAGTTGCAGCCAGTTTCTTACAGCGGACAAGCACTGGAAAAAAAACCTCCTGCTTCTTGTGGATCACCCCAAAACAGGCCCCAAAGCAGAAGCTGACAGCACAGAGCGTCTCTAGTCTCGCCTCTGCTGCCAGTAAAAAGGGAAGAGTCACACACAGGGATAGCACCTGCACGTGTCTGTGCTGGTTTCACACCAAGGTGTTACGTAGGAAAACTAGGAGGAAAATGGAGTAGACGCCGTTTTGTCCCCTTACCTCAGGAATCACAAGCACAACCCTCCGTGGAAAACCAGGAGTCCCCACGACCTCACACCATTTACAGCCCAAGCAGACAGACACCCTCACTTTAAATCTATTTAAGCTAGAAAACAAAAATTGTAATACAGAGTAAATACGATCCCTCGTGCTGGCAACGTTGCAAAGCTATTTTGTTTTCCAGAAGTGACGTGTGTTTGAAGGCACAGAAATCACGCTTTGTTATTCCAATACATCCACCATTTCAAGTTGAAAACAAAGCTGCTCTGTGCAGTATTCATAAAATGTTTCGATATGTTGGGGAGCTGTAAATATGTTTGAAAGAAGACAACACTGAGGGGGGAATTCCATCTAACCGAGGGCAAAATTGGGCACTCTTCTGGGAAAAAGTGCCGCAGGACAGAAATGCACAAATTTTTTGAGAACACCTTCTACATTAACAAGTCACCTTGGTGTCAATTTTCCAAATTAATTCTTGAAAGCTCAGAAAGCCCACCGTGCTCAAGTCTTACAACACAGTAGCCACAAACACCGTCCTAACACAAGAGAAAAGTAAGGACAAACCTTGCACATTTCTGATACTGCTCCAGTAACAAGCAGCTTTCAAGAGCATGGTCACCACCATTTACCACAAACCCACAGTATTTTAGAAAGGTGAACAGTCCGTTGGAGTCGATACCTGACTGAAGGACCACAGATAGCCAAGTACGAAGTTGCACTGCTGGTTCAAAAGGCAGGACCTCTCCCAGCTTGCCTCTGAACAAACCCCTCAGCAAGACCCAAACGAAGAAGCCAGAGGCATCGCCAAATCATCGAGGCTCCCGCCACCTATTGCTAAAGATCCACTGAACAGTTCCGATCAGAAAAGAAATGCTGCACGGAGTCTTTCCAAAGTCTACTGCATGAAACAGCTGAAGTATCCCTCACATTCAGCCCTGGACTGCAGGCAGCTTATCATGCAGCTGCTGACCTGTCGTGTGTCACTGCACAGAGGATTATATCCACATGCCTTAAAAAGTTTCAAAGCTTAAAAAAAAATATGTATTTTTCATGGACAGATCTACAACAGCTACGCCATGCAGATGGCAGATATTTTAACTTTTGACTTCTGAAGAGGATATCTGCAAAAAAAAAACCCAACTTCAAATACATATAAATAGTTCTGTAGAAGAGGCGTCCAGGAATCTGTTCAGATTACAAAAAAACTAGAATAAACATTTACTTGCTTAGCCGTATGACACTCAAAACAACTCTGCGTTCTGGTGTACTGCAGACATCTCACAGCCATCTTCGGTTTTGATTTCATCAGACCTCAGTAATTAAGCAAGGTAAATACTTAAGAAGAAAGATCTATGGGGAGAACTTGATTGGATGCTTCGGGGAACAGCAGAAGCATTTTTCACTCCAGCCAAAACTCAGGCAGTGCTTCCCTGGGTTTACGGGAGAGCCAAGTTGAAAAAACAAGGGGAATCTGGTTCAGCTGATGCAAATACAAAGTTTTAGCCACCAACAGTCACTTCAGGGGCAGACTGACACCAGGAGCAGGAGCTGGGTCTCACATCCAGCCCTAATCATGTCATTTTAATAAATTAATGCCAGATAACACACTTGAATTCTCTTCTGATAGGCAACACAGCTTCTGCTTCAAGCCTGGCAAGAAAATGAATCCTGGATGAGTTTGTTCTGTTCAGGCGTTGGGTGAAGAGGTTTCCTCATTCCATGTCCTTCGCCAGCTTCGCCCGGTCTCGTTCCACGTTATCCGCTCTGCTCCCCTACTTTCTCTCCAACGTGCCACGTTACACAGACACCTGTTCACAACACGGCCTTCTTAAACCTGGTCGCAGCTGGGCACCACACACCAGACACCCTCACGTCTCATCACTCTGACCTAAACCCAGCTCTGAAGATCCAGTTCAGCTACAGGTCTTGTGGGGAGAGCAGAGGCCCACCCAGCCCCTCTTCTCCCCCGGCACACAGCTGGGGAGGGCCAGGGAGGCGCGTGACAAACCCCCAGCTCCAGCCCTCTGCTCCCTGAGGACTTCTTGAGTCATCAGCAGGTCTCTGCCCAGCCTCTGAAGGATTTTATTCCATGTTCTTGTCATTTCTTCAACGAAGGTTTCACAATGTCGCAGCAAACGGTCTCTACGCTCTGCGTGAAACAACCGTTTCCTAGTGAAGTCACACTGCCCACGACTATTTGACTCCACCACATCGCTTCCCCATCGCTTCTCTTCCAGTTTGGAGGTGCTGGCTCACAGGCGTCCTCTAGAACAACTTTAAAGACAAAAAAACCTGCACGTCTAAGTCATCTTTAACCACCCAACCAAGACAAAGACAACTGTATTTGTAAAACTGAAAGTAAGAGGATTTCTTCATTCTTCGCTATTCACAAATACGCAAGACTAACAGTTCTTGAACAAAACTTTTATTTTTTGCAGGAAGAAAAAAAAAACAACCCTAACTCTTCTGGTTATTTTGCAACACTGTTGTCTAAACACAGCTTGCCCCATGAGGTCTCAAAACAGTCTGAGCTGCCTACGCAACAGCAGGTGTACGTAAAGAAAAAAATACTATACAGAATAAAGTTAATATATGCCAGAAGCAGCCGTGACAGGGAGAAAAGGTTCGGATGAGGCTGTCTGGAGAACACATCCTACGCGGTAGTGCCATTAGGACAAGAAGTTACAACCCTTCATCTCCCCAGAAAATTTCACAGCTAATTTGTCAAGCTGTATTTTTAGTAATAACATTTGCTTCGTTTCTGAAAGCACCAGTAAGCCAGCTACTGAATAATTCACGTGGAAACAGATTACACTTTTCCAAAGCGCTTCGTCCATTTATTACCACAAACCCAAATTTGATGCCCTGCTCAACTGTGACACAGTTTTATTTTAAATCAGACTTGCCTTTAAGCCTTCAAGTCTGCCCAAACAGCTGCGCTTCCTCCTGGCCTTCAGTGCTTCCAGTGTGAATGTACTTGAAAATTTATTTTTGCTCTGGACCCCCTAATGCAGCTATTCAGTCCCTTTTTGAACACACAGCATAAATAGGGCCTCATAATCTTGCGTCATTTTGCCAAATTGCAAAAAAAACCCTCCCCCCACAGGCTCTCCACACGTTTGCTGAAGACTATTTAAAATTTAAAACGCACAAAGCTAATAATTTTATTTTTTTTTAATTACATTCCCTTGTATTTTTGACGTGTCAAGCCTAGGTCTTTCAAGAAAAATCCACAGCTTTCAGAATGCTTTTCTCTCTCCCAGTATTCACCAGTTCCTTCCTTTTCTTCCTTCAAGAGCTGGAACTGTTATTTGCTTCGTAGCTGAAAGCTCGGTCAGATGAATGAGAGCATTTTGTGTGTCCCTCAGAGCTAGTCTTCAGTCTCTGGAATAGTCAGTGTCACCCAGACCACATTTGGAAGATAATTTTTGCAGATAAATAGGCTGCTTTGTCTTAATGCAGACTTTGCAGGAGGGGGGCTGAATACATGAACATCTCATCTACTCTACCAAGATTCAGCACACAATTTTTTCAGATATTTTAGGCACCCAGATGACGTTAGTATTACACTCCACTGATAAAGGGTTTGGTTTCTCATTTGAAATCCACTGCAGAAGACATAATTTTTAATATTTTTTAAAAATTAAAAATCAACGTGCATGGCAATTCTGAAATGCAATTTGGAACAGAACACGCTGTGCAGCAGTTACAATAATTTACTAGCACCGTTTCTAGGGTTGGGAAGTTTGCATGTAAGCACTCAAACTGGCGACCAGCATCACAATTCATTTAATGCACAGTAAAAATAAATTAGTTCATAAAACAGTGCAGCAGGTAAGATGCCGAGTACAAGTTTATGCAATAATCTTTGAAAGACACTCACCTTCATATGAGTGCATTCAATGTTACACAGAGAACACATATGTGGAAATATTCTTGGAGATGTAGCATAGTAGTCATTCATCATTGATGGAGTGGGCAATCTTTTTATCTTCTGGGCATCAGACTGGGAAAACACTGGCAGCCAGGATGCTTTCACAACACCGAAAGGAGACTTAATGGGCCCCTCAGCCTGTGTCTGGAAGGGTTTTTGTCCCGCTCCCGAGGCGCTGGGGGCGCCGGGCTGGCTCGTCCCCACTTCCCGCTGCGTTCGCTCGTGCTGGCTGATGGCTGCAAGGAGCTCAGCTGAAAAAGGCGGCTGGGTCATGGGTGGCATCATGTGCTGGGTATCAGTCTGGGGAAACACTGGCAGACACGGTGCTTTCACAACACCGAAAGGAGACTTAATGGGCCCCTCAGCCTGCGGCTGGAAGGGCTTTTGTCCCGCTCCCGAGGCGCTGGGGGCGCCGGGCTGGCTCGTCCCCGCTTCCCGCTGCGTTCGCTCGTGCTGGCTGATGGCTGCAAGGAGCTCAGCTGAGAAGGGCGGCTGGGTGATGGGCGGCATCACGTGCTGGGTCATCGACTGCTGGACCAGAGGCGGCATGACAGGAGGCATCAGGGGCTGCGCCAGGGGCGGCAGCATGGGCGGCAGCATGGGCGGCAGCACGGGCGGGATGGCAGCCTGGGCCACAGGCTTCACCACGGGGAGGCCAGCAGGCGCCGCGCACAATCCGGACACCTTTCCCGTCGCCTCAGCTGGATAAAACGATCGAGTAGTGGAGGAATCGTTCTGGAAGCCTGTGGGTTTTATCAAATCTTCCACTGGGAACACGGGATTACACGCCACGCTAGACGGCGGGACGCTCACGGACAGGTTCTGCTCCCGTTGGAAGTCTTCCCTGTTCTCGCCGCTCGACGCTTCGGGATTGTAGACGCGGGTTTCGAGGGGCTCTTCGGGCAGCGCCTCAGGATTATACGGGTGCACTTCAAGAGGATCTTCGGTGTAACTGTACTTGCTCGCGTGCCCGTAATCAATCACTTTGCTCTTGACTGCTGCACCGCTCGTGCCACCGATCGTGTCTTCTCCTCGGCTCTGAGTATGCAAAGCAGGTAAGGCCTGACCCATCTTACGGATCCGGATCTCTCGCAAGATCAGCGGCATGTTTTCAGGTGTCAGCTGATCATCTGGATAGCGACTGAGTTCCTCCAAATCTTCATTCGACAGTCCGAAACTCGCTAAAATGCTGGAAGCACTTTCTGGCGTGTAGCGGTTCTGGGCATTAGAATTCTGCTCCGAGATCCGTGCCGGGGCAGGTAGCTTTTGCCCAGTTGTCCCAGTTGCACAGGGGCTGCTATCCCAGTGACTCGTGCGAGGCTCTGCCTTCTGCTCCTGGTGCAGGTTCGTCTTCTCCTTCGCCTTCCTCGGATCAGGCCTATGCAGAGTTACCCGAACGTTTATCCTCTGGGAACCCGTCCACTGAAACGTTTCCTGGCCCGAAAATCTCTGCGAGGTCCCTTGCGGCGTGCCGGGCCCCGGCTTTCGCTGAAGCCCTCCCGCACCTCCTCCCCTAAAGGATCCCGGTTTGGTGCCAGACGGATTCGGTCCTCTCGGCCTCTGAGGTAAAGTTCCTCTCGGGCTAAACATTGCGCTTTTCAGAAATGCCTGACTGAACCAAGCATAGGGAGGTGCAGAACTGTTGGTAGCAACTGAGGTCAATTGCTGAAGAGCCAAGTGGGTCTTAATTTGTGCAAGCTGTAAAGGAGGAGGGCCCAACAGAAGTGGGCTCGCAATGCCAAGGTTCAAGGAATTCACAAGTGGTGCGAAACTTTCCAAGAATAACACAAAGCTGAAAGTTAAAAGACAAGTATTAGATTATTTTATCGTTTCACCTACTTCACGCAGTGGGTTCTATAACCGGTGAGAAAAACAACTGAAGTCACAAAACAGTATTTTTAATGACAATTTAGATGGTACTTTGGAATTCAAAACTCTTTGTTGAACAAAAACATTTTCTTTCACTGCATAAAATCTTAATATGCAGCGAACAGATAACAGATAATGAATAAATGAGCTTTACCCAACAAGTTCAATGTCACAGATAACTAGCGATGACACTCGACAGCATTTTCTAAAACTTGGTATTTTAGTTCTTAATGACAACACAGTTTGGATTTATTTACAATTACAGCTATTTTATGAGCAATAAGCCAAAGTATTAAAAACCCTCTCCAAATGTTTATGAGGTGTGAACTGTAAGCGAAACCATTACGTAGAGAATTCAAACCAGTTACAACTTGGATGTCAGGTCACCGTGGAATTGATCTGAAGACAGCACAGCAGTTTTCAGGAGGGACACTCCCACCACCGCTCTCACGGGTAAACTACTACACCCTGAAAGTATTCAAAGGGTGTGACAACAATATTTGAATTCTGTGACCCAAAACTTTCCGGTTCTCGGATGTCGAAGGCAAGATCTTACATTGAAACAGCTTTAAACAGAGAGGTGTCAAATCGTACAGAAACTGAAGCCGTCTACATACAAGCATAAAAAAAAAAAGCACAACGGCAACGGAAATGCCATCTTATTGCAGCTGAAGGCACTGAGAACCCAGTCCTCTAAGGCATGAATGTACAGATACAGGCAGAGTAAGACAAAGTGATGCTCGCACTGACAAAACCAACGAAATAGCAGCAGGGTTTTGGAAAGGCCCTGGTGTAGCACACGCAGAGCAAGCGCCAGGCGTCTGCCCACCCTCCAAACCTGCAGAGCCAGCACGGGCAGGAGCAGCCCCAGAGGTCTTCACTCCACCTGTCGCCCAAAACCGGATAACCTGCTGTTTTCATTCTTCTTACAGCAAATACATTAGGGCTGCAGGAGTTTTACTAGCAGATTTTCACTAATAAGGCTTGCAGACAGGCCTAGTTGTTTCTGAACTCGCACGCTGTATTTCTGCAGTGCTGAGGGTCTTGTCTCACCCACACTAACTCCATCACAGGTTTTCTTTTAAAGTCTCCCTTAAGTTGACTCCAAACACAAGTTTTTCACGTGAAAGGAGGCATGTCTCTCATGTTTGTGGTCTGTAAGGACTGAAGTTGTGAAGCTTGAGAACCCCAACTTAAAAAACAAAAACTACATGCAGTTACAGAGGGGTGAGCCATGAACAAGCTCCAGGAGACTCAAGATTTTCCAGCTGAATTTCTGTAACTTGTTACTATCTGTATGTTAAGCATTCTTTCCAAGTTCTACTAGCGATCATTTAATTGTAACTAAACACAAACTGATGTCAGGCCAAGGAGAAACAGTAGCTACAGAAACATTAAACAGATCTCTTCCCCGTTACAAAAACATGGGAAACCGTAATAAAGGATTCCCACCACACAACAGTCCCACAATTCTGGCCTCTCATCCAGGACTCCTCACCCAATAGCCCTCCTCCCTCAACAAATTCAATCATGTTTAAATGATATCTGCATGTTGGGCCGAGATTGTTCAAGACAAGTTTCAAAACAGACTATGAAACAAACATCCACAAAGCCATCTCTTGCCTTTCAGTTCCCTGGAACTCTCAGCCCCAGAGGGGAAAAAAAAAAAATAAACAACCAAACCAACACACAAATCTCTCAGCACATGGATTTGGAAAGTGGTTGGGGAGAGAACAATATCGAAGCCACTCATTACAAGCATGAATATGGTAGTAGAGCACATTTTTAAAATAAACACGCTGGTTTGCAAACTGAGCGTTAACTCGGGGGATGAGGGACCTCCCGGGGGATCTGTTCAGGAGCATCCTGGTTTCGCCTGGGACAGAGTTAATTTTCTTCTTAGCAGCTGGTGCAGCAGCGCTGTGTTTGGCTTCGGGATGAGAATGTTGATAACATAGGGATGTCTGAGTTATCACTGAGCAGTGTTTACACAGAGGCAAAGACTTCTCTGCTCCTCACCCCACCCCGCCAAAGAGGAGGCTGGGGGGGGGCACAAGGAGCGGGGATGGGACCTGGGGGGGGGTGGCTGACCCAGGGGGGTATCCCACACCAAATGGCGTCATGCTCAGCGCATAGAGCTGGGGCAAAATTGGGGAGGGTGGGATGTTCAGGAGATGGAGCTTGCCTTTCCCAAACTCTACACATGACAGAATCTGGCTTTCCTGGGAACGCTGAGCCCCTGCCTGCCCATGGGAAGCAGTGAATTAATTCCTTCTCTTGTTTTGCTCGTGTGTGGCTTTTGCTTTCCCTGTGAAACTGCCTTTACCTCAACCCACAGGTTTTCTCACTTTTACTCTTGTGATTCTCTCCCCCATCCCGTCGGGAGGGGAGTGAGAGAGCGGCTGCGTGGGGCTGAGCTATCAGCTGGGCTTAAACCGCAACAGTTTTACCAACAGTACTCCAAAATGGGGAAAATACACCTTCCAGTTTGGATACTAAAACCTTACTGAAGTAAAACTGAGACCCAATATCCTGTGTTCAACAGTAACCAACACTCGATGCCACAGACCATGCTGTAAGTTCATGGACTTTCTCCCAAGTCCTGAAACTTTCTTCAGTCAACAGTCTAAAGGCTGTAATGTCATGTTACCCGAGATGCTAACTAAACAAAATAATCAAGAGACTTTTCTCAGAATCAACGAACAAAATGCTGTAGCTTGCTCAGAACATGGTGATACTGGGCCTGATAACTTACCCTCCAAAAATGTTAAAAAACAAATCCCCTCCAAAGTGGATACTCCTTAAGCAGGATCGTGAGGGGCCCTTTCTCAGCCTCTGTGGAAGACACAGACCAAAACCAACCTCTGGGTGAACAGAGAGACGTGGCACCAGTGCTTAAAACTGCCTGCCTGGGTCAGGAAAATAAGGGAACACGTATTCAGGATTTCTCTCTCACACTGTAACTGTTAGGTTCTCCATCAATATTAACTATTGGAGAAATACGAAAGACAGGTTTATTTGTCAGGAGACGAATATGAGCCAGAGTGTGCCCAGGGGGCCAAGGAGGGCAACGGCATCCTGGCTTGTGTCAGCACTGGCG